GGGCTCAAAACGACCATGTATAGTAAGGTGTTTTTTGCCCAAAAAAAACGTCCATGTTTAGTAAGGCGTTTTTTGCCGAAAAATACAACCATGTATAGTAAGCAGGGTTTTTTTTTTCCCAAATGACCATGTATTTCGTCTCATACTTTCTGACGCTTCGCCAGTCCCTTGAAGCTGCTGAGGACATCCAACGTCAAGCCCCTCATCATCTTCATTGCTCCTCCTTCTCAAGAAAGACTGCGCATCTTGCTGGCTAGTGAGAGGAATACACCCAAGGTACGAAATAGTCTCCCGGTCAGGTTCATGCAGATGACATGAAGATCGATTGACTTGATATTAAATCTTCAAACTCAAATTCACCTTCTGTGTCCCGCACAGCCGGAGGAGCTCAAGGAGGTCATCGAGAAGGCTCGCGAGATGGGGCAGGACTTTGGCCATGTTTTTGACGCCACTGTTGTCAACGTTGTGCCAAATGGGGTTTTCTTTGAAGTGCGCAAGCTCATCGAGAAACTGGACACGGAGCCCCAGTAGGTGCCCACCTCCTGGCTCTGCTGAGCTCCTCTGGAGGGGCACGTGGACGTTCTGGAAGCCTCCAGTTGAAGGACAGGTGGTATATTTTTCAGTTGCACATTTACTCAGAAATGTGAACTTCAGCCATTTCTGAAGCATAGACGTAGCTTCATATTTACATGTAAATACAGAATTCTGGGGACGATGTAAACAAGTAGTTTTTTTCTATCCCAGTTGTATTCGGGCAGTAGGCAGGGGACACCCTGAACCGGTTGCCAGCCAATCACCGGTTATCAATAAACAGTATATTATACTGCAAAATTCCCCCCCCCCCCCCACCCTCTTAACACAAATAGGCCCGTTCTTCATACCTGACCAAAATGTGGTTAAGGCAACTGATAAGTTGATTGTTTTTAGTTATCATACATTTGCATATTATTAATTATGAATTGATTATGCCTGCAATGAAGACCGCTTATGCCTGCAATCATTGATTATGCCTGCAATGAAGAACGCTTCTGCTTTTAATGAAGATATAATGCTTTTAATCATTATATACTCACATTTATAATCAAGAATGCTTAGTGCATGTGTGGCAGTTTAGGGACGCAACCACCTTTTCGAGGACGTGGTTGGGAAGAGATCAGTATTAAGACTAAACAGGACCAAGGTTGGACAGTGGATGGAGCCATCAACACCAGCTGCAACGTTATGTTTTTTATAACAATTGCACACATGTACATAACTTACACTCACATAGTCAAACAAGTTCAGTGTGTCTTCAACAGCCCCCACCCTTTAGGTTGGACACACCTATGTAGTAGATTTCCCAATAAATGAGGGGGTGAAGGGGGAGATCGTTAGGGTGACGTGCAGAGAACTGAAACCTAACGCTTCTCCTCGTTCCCTCCTGATACCAGAATTGAGTCTCCTGTCTCCTCCTTCTGTTTTCTGTCTAGATGTCAAATTGATGGACCTGACAGCAACAGTGGTGCAAAATGGCCACCAGGATTTTTTGCGGAGGTGCATTGGGTGAGCCCCCAAAACAGCAGACACTGGGTACACCTTTTATTGGATGACCTGTTGCAATGTGTGTTACATCAAGGGTCTCATTCGGTAAACATCCTTTCAACAAGGTAATGGCTCTCACACACTCTTGACTAGCGCAACCATTTTAAGATTTACGGCATGCAAACTGAGGAGAGAACCCTCATCACAATTTACTATTAAATGTACTATTTGTACATATGTTGCATCTCTTCATACTTATATTAATTGCTTTGGAGTTCTGGACAAATACTGAAATGTGATTCTTTCCAGTATGACACAACAGAACATATCACACAACACACAAATGGTCTTCAGGAGAAGATTTCGACATTGCCCTGATGGGCACGGAATAAATAGATTTAAGGGTTGCCTTGATGACGGGGGGTTTACTCAAAGAGCAGGTCTTCGTCCGTCTCCTCTGTTAGCATGTTGGCAGGCTCGGCGATGGGGCCCAATTTGGCCAGGCGGGCGGCGATCTCCTTCTCCGTCCTCTCTCTCAGCTGCTTCTTCTTCTCCTGGATTTTCTTCAGCCTGAGAAGATGACCAATGACATGACGCGCTCCGCGAGACCTTGACGAACAACCCAACGAGGGACGCATGACGACACCGACCTGTAGAACTCCTCCCGTTCCCTCTCGTCCAGCTCCGTAATGATGTAGTTCAAGGTGCGGTCGATCCGAGGGATGATAACTGAAAGAGACCGCGATTAGTCTTGAAAATGTAGAGTTCGGGATCAAATGTTGAACTTGTTAAAGCTCACCGTGCTCAATTGCATTCACGCGGCGGTTGGTGATCTTTATGGCCTCATCCAGAGTGACAAAAGATGTCTGGGGACAAAATATGAAGATGTCATTTCTGATATGGTGTGTTCGGAATGCACGGTTGTCTTTGACTGAATGCACCCCACCGGATGTTTTCCAGATCAGCGGTGTGAAACTCTTTTAGCCACCGGCAGGGAAATTGATGGCTTGACTGAGTCGATGACTTTGGGGTTGTGACACATGTAACTTGAGCAGCAGTATTATGCACTGCACTTGGCCGGTACCTGTAGGGAGGCCAACTCCACGAGCAGCTCCACAGCTCTGGCGTAGTTCCTCTTCAACCTGGAGAGCTGCTCTCCTCCTCGGGCCAGACCAGTCAGCTCATAGCCTGACAATCACAAACAGGGATGTGAACTTGATTGGGGAGGTGGCGGGGCTGAATGCATATTTCATCCAGATATTGTTTGACTTACTATCTCCGCCTTCTTGGTAATGCTCAAAAACGGGAAGAGTAACACCTGCCACGTTATCTTTTTTGGCCCGCACCTTCACCTGAGCTTTGTTGACATTCTGAATGACTGTCGTGCTATTGCCACAAAGACGAGTATTAGTGTTGCACACTCATCCATTGGTTTTTAAACACGACCCTTACCTGAAGTCACCAGCGGCAAATTTGGCTTCAGCCAAAGAGAAGGCCGCTTCTCTCATCACCTCCCCCATCTTGGTCTTTGTCTGAAAAGAGAACGGCATATAAGTCCGTAATTAATACTCTCTAAAGCTTCTTAGGTTGTCACATGAAACCACTGACTTCGATAATCTTGCGAAGGATTTGACGGAATCGCATGGAGAGAGCGTCCGACTTCTTCTTCAGGAGGTTGCGGCCTGTCTGCGCTCCTTTCATACGAGCCTTCATGATGGTCTGAGCCCTGCAAACAACAGGTCATGATGACAGCCGAGCACAAGTGAGCAATGACATAGTTCACAAGGTATTCGTCAGAGGCAGATTTGCAATAAAGCTGCAGGATGCCACTTCACTTAGGATTGTGTTCTGTATCCTACCGGGCATGCCACACTAATTGATCATCATATTGAGGTTCAACCGTGGATAGAAAAATTCTACACATTCCTGCTCAAATGCCAGGTTTTTGGGGAATATAAAAAAAAAAAAAATGAAACCAATACCTGTACAACTCAAATGAAATAATATCTATTTGAAACGGTCGTGGTAAATAAATCAAATTAGATAATGCATTTGTTCAAGAGTGCGTGCCCTCCTATGACTGGTGGCATAGCTGTGTTAGCATTATACTATAACATCAAAATTCGGCACGTGGGAGTCTGCACACTACTGCCAGCATTTAAAGGGCTTCTCATTCATGCCATATACATTTCAGCAGTTCTTGGACTTTTCGAGTTAAATGTTACTGCATACTACCAAATACAACAGTACGCGATACATGATGTTCCTTTGTAATTTCTAAATGTATTCATCTATTGGGGAAGCTAGTTAAAACTTAAAAAGGCATTATTACGTGCAAAATTGTCCAGTACGGATTTGAAGAGTGCCACAATTCAATCTAATCATTGCCCACGAAGACGTGAGCGAAGTAGTAACAGCTCGCACGTCACATGACGAGGAGGCTTCCTCTTTTCAATTCTAACGCAGAAAATGAATCCGAATCGCATAAAGTTAGATCACAAGTAGGCAAAGCATGTCTACGTACACAAAGCCGAGCGCAGGAAGAAAAAAAAATCAAATAGCTATCATTTGTGGTTGGATGCTCAAGCGTTAGCAAGCGTAGCTATCGAACAAGCTTACATTCTGGATGGGAATACGTCGATCCTGTCCTTTCCAGACATCTTGTCGGCTTTCTGGTGATTATCTCAAAGGTGAAATTCTCCAATTTGTCGTCTTTCAGAACCAAATATTTCCTTCGTGGACGGGTTGAGATGATCTTAAACTCTCTGGCCGTGGATCAGCTGACCTGATGTCACGTGACGCCTATAGAGCAGCCGTGCGCATGCGAGGCTGGGAAAAAAAAAGATCTTTTCCGGGTCGAAAAATTAGCAGTCGTGAATCTGAGCTAACGGATGCTAGTTTACAGTCACTAAAACGAAGCCGAGTGGAGCAACATTGGAAATTTAAGCACGCAGTGAATCGCTTTCAAAGCTTTCCTTACCCAAACACATGACACAGGTGAGGTTGAACGGACAAAGCGGACGCTTTCGTGGCAAGCGGGCGACGTTGGCTGCTAGCCTTGCTTTGCATGTGCCGCATGTGAGCTGGGCACCCGGTTACTAGATCCAAGCTAATAATGCTATAGGCTTTTTTTTGTTCATTATTTTTTTAATACTATAGTTTCTTATGATAATATGGCACCATAAATTCCACGTGGGGCAGATTTAAATATTCGAAGCCGTGTTTGTCTTACTGCATATATATATATATAATGGAAATTAACACGTTGGGAGCTTTTCTGTTGCATCATCTTGGATCCGACAAAAAGTAGTAATGCAAATATTCTTGACGATACTGTACTTTTTGTGGCAATGGTTTATATTCATGTTAAGTATTCTGTTGGACCACTCCGGGATTAAAACCAGAAATTACTTGTTGGTACGATGATACAATATGCAAATCATGACTACTTGGAGCCTCAAATATGTATGTAGTTTACTGGGATAGCCACACTTGGCAAATATTTGGTTGAAATAGACGTTTTGACTTTAGATTTTTAATTTGTTACTTTTCATTCGTTTGATTTTTGCTTCGTATTATTTTTTTTTAATGGGAGTAACAATATTTGTTTAATGTATACTGAAAAAAAAATCACCAGGTATTGAACCATAATTCCCACACGATTCTTTGAGCTTCCCTGTTCTGAAGGGCGGTGCAGTATACAAGTAGGACGCAAAAGTTTTAATTGCCTATGTTGTTTAAATTTAACCGCTAGTTGAACCTCAAACTATAACCCTCGAACTCTCTAATATTAAAACTATTTTTTGTTGATGTTTTTGAAATAGCAATGCCTGGACTCAGCTGTCGATTTTACCAGCACCGCTTCCCAGAGGTGGAGGATGTGGTCATGGTGAACGTGAGGTCCATCGCAGAGATGGGAGCCTACGTCAGCCTCCTAGAGTACAACAACATCGAGGGTATGATCCTCCTGAGCGAGCTGTCGCGTCGACGTATTCGCTCCATCAACAAGCTCATCCGCATAGGACGCAACGAGTGCGTGGTGGTCATCCGAGTAGACAAAGAGAAAGGTTAGTTAGCGCGGCCGCCAAGTGCCCTTTGCTACTCGCTGTTCATGTTTTGTGGAAAGAGCCTCAACCATGTTTCTGCTCTGCTTCCCCATTAGGATACATTGATCTATCAAAAAGAAGAGTTTCACCAGAAGAGGCCATCAAGTGTGAAGATAAATTCACCAAATCTAAAACTGTTAGTCAGATTGACATTATTTGACAGCAATCCTGTTGGTTTTTTTTCCATTTCCTAACTGTAATTGATTGTAATCATTGTCTACAGACGATTTTATTTTAAATACAATTCTGAACTAATTATGACTTTACTCATGCGCTGGTGTAGGCTACTACAGGATGTTCTGACTTGTAATTATGGTTATGGTTAAAATAATTGATTCATGTGTGTTAATACACGCAGGATTGCTCACACTGAAATGATCAACTTTTGCCCATTGAGCCGACACTGACCTGTGATGTGTGTGCGTAGGTATACAGCATCCTGCGACACGTGGCCGAAGTGCTGGAGTACAGCAAAGACGAGCAGCTGGAGAGCTTGTACCAGCGCACCGCCTGGGTCTTTGACGAGAAGTACAAGCGGCCGGGATACGGCGCCTACGACGTCTTCAAACAGGCCGTGTCGTAAGTGCTCCAGCACTTTGTCACGCAGACCAACACCGTTGATCCTTCACAAATTGAAGCCGGCGGGAATTTTTCTGACAAAATGGGACTTGTTAATTCCATACCATGACGCGTGTTCTGGTGCAGTGATCCTTCTATCCTGTGTGACCTGGACCTGACAGAAGAAGAGAGGGCTGTGCTTATTGACAACATCAACAGGCGACTCACGCCGCAGGCCGTCAAGATCCGAGCAGGTGAGAAAAGAATTTTGAAAAAGATTCGATTTCTAATAACATCACTTTAATTCATGATTAACAGAAAGAAAAACCTCACCTTTTCTTGTCTTGATGACAGACATTGAAGTGGCTTGTTACGGCTACGAGGGCATCGATGCCGTGAAGGATGCGCTGAGGGCGGGACTGGGCTGCTCGACAGAGGCCATGCCCATTAAGGTGACATCACGACCACCAGCACGGAGTTGAAAGAGCTTTGACCTTTCTTCCTCATACTGACTACAGTGAGTCTGCTGTAAACAATGTCGATGAGAAAGAGGCCGATCTTTCCCCACAGATTAACCTGATCGCTCCTCCCCGCTATGTGATGACCACCACCACTTTGGAGCGCACGGAGGGCCTCTCCGTCCTCAACCAGGCCATGGCGGCCATCAAGGAGAAAATTGAAGAGAAGAGGGGCGTCTTTAACATCCAAATGGAGGTGAGCCAAAGCATTGATGTGGTTTTCGATGAACAACTAATACGGGAGGACCTCCCATTCCTAGATAGACATACGGCAAACCAAATGCACGTCACAACTGTTCCCTTCAGCCCAAGGTAGTGACGGACACTGATGAGACGGAGCTGGCCCGGCAGCTGGAGCGGCTAGAGAGGGAAAATGCCGAGGTGGACGGAGACGACGATGCAGAGGAGATGGAGGCTAAAACAGAGGACTAAAGAAACATGGATACAGTCAGTTCATCAATGACAAACTGCTATTAAAAGTGCTTCTTTTGGACTTTTAACAGCAGTTTTCTGTTTAGCCTGCTTGCTTAAGAAGGTATTTGACACATTGAGTCGTTCAAGGGCAGTGTGCTTCTATTTTGTAATGACATCGCCGTGACCTTCAAACAAGTATCCATGGGGTTGTCACGTAACAGGGGGTGCAAACAAAAAAAACCGCAGGATCTGCTGTCTGCCCGTCATTCAGTGGTGACATTTACAGGGGTTTTGCTGATAGGATCTACTCGTCTGTTCCCTTGGCAACAATAAAAATCTTGATCTCGACATGTCATAAGCATCTTCATTTCCTAGCTTCAACACATTTAAGTTTTACAGTCAACCAGAAAAAAAGTATAAAACAACAAATTTTTATTGAAATGGTCACCAATACAAAACACAATGGAGAGCATCTCTAACTAAAATTTTCCTGTCGAGGTTTTAACAAATGTATTTTGGCTGAAATGATGAAATTAATGACATGGCCCCCACAAAGCCGTCATTGCAGGTGTGCACACAAATGAAGCAACCCACATTCAAACGACACGTTGATTAGCTCCCCACCAACAAGAAGTTCAAGTACTTTGATTAAAAACAAGCAAATGGTCCTTTTCAGGAAATTATTTTACCCGAGAGTGAAATTATTTACAACGAAAATGGTGAAGCGGCAGCTAAGGACAAGTTGCAAGGGCCATGACCAAGCTCTCCTCAATCTATTATACATGATAACGAAGAACGGCATTTCTTTTATTTTACCAGACCAATCTTCTTGGCTTCCGTTTCATAGATGAGCAACCTCCACATCTTTACAATGAAGACTTCAGCCTTGCATATAAGAACCTACAAAAAAAAAGAAAAAAAGAAAAAAGTGATTCATGTGAAGCAATTTGTTGGCAGCATAAAATCACACAGCCCTACGAAATGGCAAATGCACTATTTAGTAGATAAGTCACATGCCGTGGTGGGAAAAAAAAATGTCCGATCGTGTCAATGACTCACCATAGCGACGTCATCCAAGATGCCCTGCGGGGTGCCGTGAGCCATCACCTGCGGAGACAAGTGTGAGTGCAGCCGTGCCACAGAGGTGCGGGGGTAAGCGACCAAGGACGAGATTGATACCTTGGAGCAGACAAAGTCCACTAATGTGGGCTCTTCCTCTCCGATGTACTCGATGATCTTTTTATTGATCCATGGCCGCACGTGTCGTTCCATTAACGCCTGCGGAGAAATCCAGAAGAAGCGTGTCACGTGACCGGCGTCCCCATCCCGTCGGAGTACAAATACTAACCAAGTACTGCTTACCGTGTCCACCATGGACCAATCCAGAGGGTAAGAGAACAGATCGGGCTTGGCCGTGGGAATCTTTTCGATGAGGCTCTTGATGTGTTTGCGCTTCTCCTCCGAGTTGGGTCCCTTGGCCCCGTCCGCCCCCAGGCTCTTGTCGTCGTCGTAGTCCAGAGGCACAAGCTTCCTCTTGCGCGGCTGCTCGTCTGCTTCCTCGTCTTCGAACTTGCCAAAGACGCTGTCGACGGGCAGCTTCTTTCTCTTGCCTGTATTGGGCTGACTGGGACTGCCGCTCGCACCTGCGTTAAGGGTTCATCTCTGAAACGTTCACTCGGTCAAAGTCATCTTCCTGAAACTTCTGAATAAGATGCGCGACTGGAGGCACAAAAACAACAAGTTTGCCTGGAGGTGGTCTTATAGCCTTTATCTTTAACATGCTTGTCTGAAATTGTCTTTCGAAGCTCCAGAGACAATACTCTACGTCCTCTGGTCCATGTTTAGTGTGCTAAACATAAATATTTATTTTTGACAATTCTTTCAATGTTCCGCCCCTATTTCTGAATGAAGTAAAATGCACTCACCAAGCTTGAGGCTTAGGCCGATCTTGGGTCTGTTCTCATCGTCAGGCAGCTTGTTGGGGGGCGAGTTCTCATGTGGGATGATGATGCCGCACGGCGACTCGTTGCCGGGCGTGTCGGGCGACGCGTTGCCGCTAGCCGACGACACGGACGGCGCTGCCGTGATGGGCCTCATGGTGGGCTTGAGGCAGGGTTTCACTTCGGGGTTGTCCTCTTCGTCGTAATAGTTGTCTTCGCCCTCCTCGACCTCCTCATCCTCCGAGTGGGCGCTGTGAGGACGATGCTCCGGTCTGTCTTGGTGGCCACTGTGGTTCTCCCTGTGGTCCCCTCTTTGTTCACGGCGGTCCCCTCGGTGGACCCGTGAAGCCCTATGGCGCTGCTCCCGTGGCTCCTCGGGCTCCGGCTCTTGGACGATGGGAGGCCGTCTCAGTCGCTCCTCCTCTTCCTCCTCCATCTTGACCAATAGGATGCAACGGAGGTGAAAATCATGGACATGAATCAACGTGCAAGGAATGATGAAGTGACCTTCACAGAGACAGCGCTCACGCATGCTCACATACAGATTCACTCTCACAAACACACACACGCATACACGCACATGAAAGATGCTGTCATGAGATCAGCATTTACCCTGCGTAGCTCCGCGTCTGGGTCTGGATGCCCCTCGTCTAGCAGCCTCTGTCTGATTTTCTCCAGCTCCTCCTTCTCTCTCTTCCTGTCACGCTCATCCGCCTCCGCCTCCTTCTCCCTGTCTCGGAGGCGCTTCTGCAGTGCACTGCCCCTAGTGGCCGCAACGAGCAATGACACACTTCAGAACAATGGCTGCAGGGTTCCCCCCCGCCCCCCACCTCCGTCGCACGTCTGCCACTAGACTGTAAATATAGGCCATTGGCATTTATCGACTTTGACAGTATCAAACAGAACTGAACTACTTCATCTTTGTTAAGGTAGATATCTATAATAACCTCTTTGGCGTGTTTAGGTATACAAAGGCAGTACTGTCCGTTGGTTTTAGTTTGCCCAAAAATAGCTGACTTACTCTGCAGGTCATCGAGCCCAATTCAGATCAAAATGGTGTCACCTGGACAATGCAGTGTAAAAATACAGCCAAACTGGGCTTTCGGGTGGTGTGACGACCTACATTGGCTTTCGTGCATCCTACCTGTAGTATTTAGGGTCATCTCTGTCATCGTCATAGTCTTCCAGGAAGCCTTTTAGCCGTTTGCCTTCCTTTACCTGACACAGAAATGAAACGGGAACACCTTACAGCCATTCTTAACTACAGCGGAATCTAATGCTGGAAAAAAATAATAGGCCTTAAATCAGAGCGTGCGGTGTCAACACATCGAGACACGAGACCACATTTCTGCCAACAATTGCAACAATGCACTTTCTGGGAGGATGGTGCGAAGAATGTGAAAGGAGAAGAATGTCCAACTAAGTTTTCTGTGGGATAAGAGCAAACACAAAAGACTTCAACTTAATTGTTTCACCAGTTGTCGACACGATTGAGTATGAACATGGATGACGCCGCAGACGTTTATTTCTTTCATTAGCAAGTTGGTTCCCATTCCCACGTTCTTGAAAGAACCCTCTGTCGGCATTTGTCTTCACATTTTTTTGTGAAACAAGGACTTTGGAATGCAACAAGAGCAATCTCGAAACATCTCAAATCAGTCTCATCTGTTTGACAAGGTGAATGAAGACGTACGTTAGCTCCTTGAGCCGCAGAGCGACAGGCTAGTTGCTATATCATTGTTACCTGTGATTAGAAAGGTTAGTATCGCTCCTTTTTTTTTCTTTTTTTTTAAGAACCCCAAAAACTGAACTGTCATCACACAACCACATTTGGACACAGCTGAACAACCAGGAATCCAAAGTATCCCAGTGGCGCATAACCGCTAAATGGGTGTTGCAAGGAGGAAAGAAGAAAGAGGTAAGTGGACATTTTCACTTGATTTAGGCAGAGCCGAGTAACAAAATCTCTCTCACCATCTCTCGTCGGCGCTCCTCTTCCCTCTCAACATCTTTGGCATAATCCCGCGCTTTCTTCCTCTCCCTGAGCTCCCAGTTTTTTAAGCGCTGTTGTCAAAATGAGGCGAGATGAACCACACCACCACCAAAGTCAAACAAAAGCGCTCCTCTGAGTGCACTCCTACCTCCTGATAGGCTGCTTCTTTGTCTCGGAGCTTCCTCTCCAGCCTCCTGCGTTCATGCACCTCCTCCTCATCGTCTTGGTCTCGTTTCTTTTCTCGCTCTCGATCGCGGCTCTTCTCCCTGTTGCAAAAAAAAAAAAGAAGTGCTGCACTTGTTTGCATATAAGCGGGAGACCGTAAAAACTACATCAGTTGGTTCGTACACAACATTCCAGCCTCCATGAATTATATAAAAGTATTTTTTTTTTTTTTGCGTTACCTGGAGCGGCTGCGGGCAATGCTCTTGTCTCGACTTCTGTCCCTTTCCCAGTCTCGCGCTCTGGTCCTGCGCTCGCGGTCTTTGTCTCGGTCCCGCTCGCGCTCTCGTTCCCTGTCCTTCTCGCGTTCCCTCTCACGCTCCTTCTCCTTCTCGCGGTCCCTTCGCTCCCTTTCGCGCTCGCGCTCCTTTTCCCGCTCGCGCTTCTCCCGCTCAAACTCCAGACGCTCCTTCTCCCGCTTGTCCTTCTCCTCCTCCCGTTTCTGTCGGAGGAAAGCACACAGAGGTTCAGTGGACGGACGGCATGGAGCGAGGCCAACTTTTGCACTCAACTTGCTTCAGTGGCAAGACGAGGAGCTTTTCATATGCTCTCACTCGTCCATGCAACGGCTACAAGTCCTCAAGCTTACTTGGGCTACAGACAGTCAAGTATAGTGAAGATGTAACAAGAAAAATCATACGAGAAACGACAAAGGGAAAAAAAAAGGCGCCGCAAGAGACAATGCAATTCGTCAGTCTTTGCTTGAACTTGTTGTTTGGGACTTACAGGTGATGAACTATGGACTCAGCCCTTCGCTGCCCCTATAAGCCTTTTAAGTTAGGCCTGGGAGGAAAGCAGGTCACACGGTATACAAGGGAAACACGTTATGGATTTGAGGTTTGTTTGAGCATCATCAACAAAAAAAAAAAAAATTGTTTTGTTTTTTTTATTTCAGTGAGTACATTGGCATTCTGGCAAGAACATCAGGAACAATTTGAACAGGTAAATTAAAAGTATTGTAGAAGCTTGTCTTACCCCCTTCAGAAGTCTACGGCGGATCCTGGCGACCCAAGGCGCACACGCACACACACACACACACACACACACACACACACACACATCAACTCTGCCTTTGAGAGCATTACACACAAGGCTTTTTTGATGGGAACATCTTTGAGTAAAGGAAGGAAGGCACCATCAAGGATAAGTGGACAAGCTGACACACAATCATGCTGACAAACTGGGACGGACAA